TCTTAAAATCACCACTATGATTTCTCAGGAAAAGAGAAATGCAGGGACTAGCACTGGAACACTTGTCTTGGTGGAAGGGGTAGCCACACAATTGCTGGAGACATGCAGCATTGCTGTGCTCTGCCTATCACTGCTGGACCTCCTCCTTGCCAGAGGCTCCTGACAGGCCGTGCCTTTGTCATTGTACCAAGAATGCCTCCAAGATCAGTTCCAGTCATATCTGTATCCTGATTTTGCAGTCATAGCCCAGAAATACATCAGTCCTCTCACTGATTTCCACTGAAAGCTAAGTTCAGTCTCTCCATCCTGCTCTAACCTGACTGGGGAACCAGTGGTTCTCTGAACATTAGACAGCCAGAATGACAGTCAGAAGGCAGAAATCTGACTTCTCCCTCTGCTTGCTAGTATTCTGGGCCTTGTTTTACCTTCTATTTTTCTTTCTAGCTTAAGGCCACTTACATGCACTTCTTGTGTAGCTTGTGAAGATATGCAAGCACCAGAGGGATGAAATGGAGGAGGAGACTGGGAGAACCTCAGCAGGCAGAGCAAAAAGAAATCCATACCCACTTAAAGATTTATTTGTGCAGATGGTCTGCATTTCACAATAGAAGTTAATGGAACTATAAGGGTTTTTAACAGCCAAGAACATGGTCTCTAGCATTTGCTTCCTATCCCCAAATCATGTGGTTCTGCATCTTAATTCACTATTTTTGCTTCTGGTTGCATAGTTAAGTGTCACATTTTGGAGGAATCCATTCTGGTTTGTTTAGAAGAGATGGTCTTCTAATTAGTTGCTGCAATTGTTGAATAAGGATTGCCAGAAAACAGTCTGTGGAACAGGCATGTTTTTCAATAAGATCAGTTTTTGCTTGGGCCTGCCTTTGCTGAGCCTTGGAACAGGATATACATCAGTGAAGCAATCACATGAATCATAGAATCACAGAACTGTAGGGGTTGGAAGAGACCTTTAAAGACCATCAAGACCAGCCCCCTGCTAATGCAGGTTCCCTACAGTAGGTCACACAGTTAGGTGTCCAGATGGGTCTTGAATATCTCCAGAGAAAGACTACACAAGCTCTCTGGGCAGCCTGCCCCATGCTCTGTCACTCTGACAGTAAACAGCTTCTTCCTTGTGTTAGTACAGAACTTCTCATGTTACAGTTTCTGTCTGTTGCCTCTTGTTCTATTGCTGCACACCACTGCACCCCACCAACTTGATGCTCGCACTTCAGATACTTATAACAGTTACGAGATCTTTTCTCAGCCTTCTCTTCTACTGAAGAGCCCCACGTCTCCCAGCCTTTCCTCCTACAGGAGATGCCCCAGGTCACTGATCATCTTTGTCTGCTGGACTCTTTCTAGGAGGTGCCTGTCCTTTTTGAACAGGGAAACCAGAACTGGACACAGTTCTCCAGAGGCTCGTCACGGCAGAGTAGAAGAGGAGAACCACCTTCCTCGACCTGCTGGCCACACTCTTTAATGCACCCCCGGATGCCATTGGCCTTCTTGGCCACAAGGGCACACTGCTGGCTCATGGCCAACCTGCTACCCATCAGGACAGCCAGGTCTTTCTCTGCAGAGCTGCTCTCCAGGAGGTCAGTCTCTAACATGTATTGATGTATGCGGTTATTCCTCCTCAGAAGCCTACACTTGCTCCTGCCAAATTTCATCAGTACACTCTGCCCAGCTCTTCAGTCTGTCCAGGTCTTGCTGAATGGCAGCACAGCCTTCTGGTGTGTCAGCCACTCCTCCCAGCTTTGTACCATCAGCATCCAGGTTACTGATGAAGATACAGAACAAGACTGGATCCAGCACAGATCCCTGGAGAACACCACTAATTACAGACCTCCAGCTGGACTCCACGCCACAAGTGAAGCATCAGTCTAGTAGGCTACAACAGTCCAAATCTGTCTCATAACTAAGCTAATACTCAGATGTGTAGTGGGCCATATTCTGCTCTAAGATACAGCCTCTGCAGCCTCATCCTTGCAACTGGTCCAATATTTGCCAGGACACTATTCTGCTAACTTGGGAAACATACGTGGTTAAGCCAGTTCAGGAGTCTGCCTACCAGCTGGCAGATGCAATAATAAAATCACAAGTGTTTTCTGCAGCTACTGCTACTTTTAAGTAAGATATGATCAAAAAAGCTCTGAGCCAAGTGGGTTCTTGGTGCAACTCTAACAAGGCTGGACTATACTTGGGATGATTTTGGTCCAATGCAGTATGCCAATGGTCAATCTCTCAATATGCCAGTCTGTAAGCTTCTTTTAAAATAACATTCTCTTTATAGTACTAAATTTTGATTTGCCAAATGGTACAGCTAATGAGCTCTTCTAAACTAAATACTGTGAGGAATTACGCATAAATACTGAAGTGTCCTAATCAGCCTCTTGCTGAAAATTATTTGATCCATTACAGACAACAATAACTATTTGCTGAAGTTTTTATTTTGCCTTTTCTACTTCTGTAAGTAGCATATATAATTTCATTGGCTGGTTATTTTAAACTACAGAGGACCATTGGTAGAATAGCACAAATCCCTCTGAAGTCCAAAACTGCCATCTGCAATTATATTCTGCATCTCACATCTTCTCTAAAGACTATAAATGCTTCACCACTTTAATTTTGCTTGGCATTTGCATTACTGTGGGACAATTACTAAGCAATGGCAAAAGACAGATGGAGTAATGAAGTCTGGACACAAAGAAATATCGCCCAAATTGAAATATTCCCTCTATTTCAATCTCATATTTGTCAGCCTGTATACATCGATACGTCACATTTAGATATAAGGCACTGTTAAGACACGTAACCTTCTTTTTGATGCTGAGACATCTGTGTCTTTCTGCATATTAGAGATGAGGAAAGTGGTTTTCTCCTTATATTTCTTAATTATTCAAAAAGATGAGATACTGAATGGTAAACACTTGTCATTAAAAGGTCAGAGTGAAAAGTATGTTTTTTCAGATAAGGTTAGTAGAATTCTACCACTTTCAGTGATATTACACAGATAACAAATGAGAATGAACCAGCAATAGCTCAGCTATTTTTCGTTTGTATATACACAGTTTTAATTATTGGAAGCACATGTGATTTCTAAGACAAACTCAAGCACTATACCTCAAACTCTGAACAAGCACAGATATTAATACAAATGCACTTGGGGAAAAAAACAGTGACATAGTGAGAATAGGTGGTTTACACAGGAAGGGTTCTGGGTATTGCCAAAGTAAGCTTCCCCATGTTAAAGATATACATGCTGAAGAAACATACTTCATGTCAAAAAAAACATGCTTTGGAGACATAAGAGATCAAATATTTATAATAAAAAAATCACCTGGAGCACAGTGAGCTACAGTCAACATTTGCAAGTTATATTATTTACCTTCATTAGACAGAGCAGTAAAACTTTTAAGAAACACAAATAATCTAGATGCATAATCAAAGAATATTAGGATGTTATAACCACAAAATAAACAAGAGAGTTAGGCAAAGTAGACTGTGAAAACAAAAGAGAGCAAATAGAAGGCTTACCCCTATCCTAGGCTCACTCACAAAACACCAGCAGAGCAGATCTCCAGAAGAGACCCTTCCCCACTGGCAGCCAGCTCTTAAATAGGTCTAGGAGAGGTGCAGCCAGGCTCCCCCCCTTCCGGCACACAGCTGAATTGCCTTCACCTGTGCTCCTGTGGCTGACTCAGTGCTCGCCTCAGGTGGTCAATCAGAGGTTCAGGCTGTACCTCAGCAGTTGCCATACACTAGGCAAATGGGCAGCACAGAAAAAATGCTGTTTAATGTCATTGTAGGGTCAAGTGATGCAGCTCAAGATTCACTAAAGATAAAAATTTCAACTCCTCACACACCTCAAAGGGTTCAAAATTAATTACGTAAGAACAAGACTGGGACCTTGTTATCCTGTATTGCTCTTTTGGACCATCAGCTTCACATTCATTTAACAAGGTATTAAGCTGAACAAAGACCAGATTGAACAATTTTGGTGCCCATCAACAGTGCAGCACCATCTTTGGTCACCACTACTGTAGCCCTTCACAAAAATACTGAAGAGTTAAGACAGGTTTTGGAGAAAGCTAAGTGTGATTCAGCACAAAGAAAGACTTTCAAAGATGGACTGGAACAATGCGGTTAGTTTACTCCAAAGAATGGATAAATGAGTCCTGCATCCCTGCAATAAAACCAATGCTCCTCCACCCCATAAAAAAAAAAGAAAAGAAAAAAAGAAAAAAAGCCAACAGAAGACTGGCTGGTCCTCCTTGTGGATTTCTTGGTTAAACCAGAAGGCAACCAATAGCACTCACTGGCTCTACATACAACTGAGCTGATAACGTAACAGCGTTAGATCAACTGCAGAAATTATGGCCAGAGCACAGCAAGTTCATAGACATTCCTACCTGGCCTTGCTTTACTAATCCTTGATGGAAATGTTTCATTAATGGGTACCCTCTATGCTCCATACAGTACAGAAAAACAGAACAGCTGGTGAATAAATGCTGTTATAAAGAAGAAAGAGTGTACGAAAGTAAATCTGTTCAAGCCTGACACAACAAAAAATACTGAAGGATGAAAGTATTTTGGATGAGAAGAAGACTTGCCTACTCAATGGCGACTCAGTCAGCTGAGCAAGTTATGCCTCTGTCCCTTGGTCAAAATAACAGATTATCAAATGGCACCTACAGCTACAATCCAAAATGTTATCAAAGATGAACTTATCCCAGCAGTGCACTGAAAACAACCACACCCATGTAGTTCATGCATGTACTTATATAACCAAAGATCCTGTACTATACACCTGGAAAATGAAACCTCTCTATGGAATGTTACAGCAGCTTTAATTCTTACAGCATTTTTCTTTTTTCCCACGGCTTTTCCTCTTGCATATTGTGAACAAACAGATCTCAGATGTTTGCAGAATATAGAAAAAAGGTGTGTCCCACCACATGTTTCCAAAAGCAAGAGCTAGAAAAACATCAATCTCCTACCTTGTTAACTTTGTCCCAATCTGCTGCCTAAGTTCGAGTCTCTCCTCATCAGTCTGCATAGGGAGGATATTCTTTTCCTCCAACTCTCGCTTGGAAGGCCTGTTGCTGAGTTTGATTGCTAAAGAGTCCTTTCTGCAGACTTTCATTGCCAGGGAACCTGTGGGAGAGAGGAGAGGCTCTGCCAAAGGAGCTGTCATCATTACATTCCAGCATACAGCAGGCAAGGAAGTGGCAGGCAAGGGAAGGTGCTACATTCTTATTTACACTGGTATGGACTGTGGGAAAAGGGGCATCAATTAACATCTGGTTTTCAGTTAGCCTCAATTCATGCCATAATACAGAAAGGATGAATTTTGTAGTTACAAAGGAAAAAGAATATTGCTCCACAGAGGGAAATAGAGAATAAAGGCCTGTTTCATAATTTCTAGAAGCATCTGTGGTGTTTTGGAATTCATAATGGAATGAATAATTAAACCTCTGAGAGGGCAGCAGAGCTACAGCATGTGGAAAGAGAGAGGCATCTCTCTATTGCAGTGTAACACCAAGACATCCAAGTTAGCATTAAAAAAAAATCAAGTCTATGAGAAGTGGAATAGACCTTTAAGTAGCTTGATTAATTAGCTGATTCTGCTTCTCAGGCACTGACAGTGGGAAAGACAGGGTGAAAATCAGTGGTCTTTCATGGCACAAGGTTGCTTCCCTTGGTTTGCACCCAAAGCAGACTGTGCAGGGCAGACCGTAAGCCGCTAAGAGGTTTTAGACTTTGTCAGGAAAATGCCACATAACACACTTCTGCTTTGCTTCTTCATTTAAGACAAAAGATTCTGATTTCACTTGCAAAGCAAGGTAAGATTCTGAGATGATGAAATACGCCTGTTTTAGAAACTTGTGTGTGCTTTAAAAATGGTGTGATTATACTGCTGTTGGTTTTCAGGAGCAAAAAAATTGAATGGCCTGAAACTTCAGCTCAAACTGCAGGATGGCAAGATGTCCTTTGTGTCACCACAAAGTAAGGTACCTCATCTTCATGACAGCCCGATGATGGCACACCAAGACAGCTGTTTTTCCCAGAGATCAGAAATGGGGCAAAAGTCCCTCCAAACTGCAGTTGCGATACAGCTGTCAATTAATCTATTCATATTTGTCACTACTATGGACCACGGTAAACTGGAATAAAATCACACATAATCCAGCAGTGGCATTTTATATTCATTTTGTGCTGATACAAGCACCTCAACAGATTGTAAGTCAGTATAGAACTGCCTACAGTTAGCAGTTAGCAGTTAGCAGTTAGATAGTTATCATGGGGCATATAAATTTGATTCCCAGTTTGAGTAACAATGATGCAAATATGAAATAACTCCAGAAAAATAAAAGAAGTTATCCTCATGCAAAAACATTGTATGGTAAAATCAGATTCATTTCCTCAGTTATGTAAGATCAAGTCAAGATTTCAGGTTTACAGATTAAAAAAACTAAAGAACAAAAACAGAACTGAAAAAAAACCTGGGATCTAAGCACAAACCAACTTACTCCCACACATACTCTCACATTGTTTGCAAAGTAAAATGCATCAGAGTGGAAAGCAGAACTGTGCTGCATTCCTGTGCAGAACAGAGCATCTGTATACCAATCATCTGCACAATTCTCTCTACCATCGTAATCTAAATTGCACACCACAGACTCTTTAAGTAGGTGTGCTCCTAGGAAGAAAAATAAGATTCTCCTCCCCCACTTTTTATTCATATCTTCCTGTATAGAAATTTCAAGACTATTTCCTCTATTATTTGGCCTGCATTTAGGAGTTTTATTCTCTGGTTTTATCCCTCTAAAAGCATGTGCAAACTTCTGATTTGGATGTGATTTAATACTGACAATGCTCATAAGATCTGATTATCTATCTGTGGCACTTCTGTAACCCTGCTGAGATGATCTTGACTTAAGCCAAAGTCACTGCTTCTCTATACTGCTGACACTTGGAGTAGTGAATCTCAAAGTCAGTTTGAAAGTAAACTAAGATAAAACAAAAAAGGTCATTTGAATTCTGCATGAGAACTATCCACAGGGATTAGGGTAATCAGTTTAAATTCATACTCAAAGCCACGGTCAAGAAAGAAAATTTGCAGGCCGTGTGTTTCTTTGCGTATCAAGATTTCAGAGGAAAACTTCATTAAATGAGAAAGGAAAAATGGAATGCATCTAACTTGTAAATAACGAGTTATCCTCATCTTCGTCTTCCTCTTCCTCCTCTTCCTGTCTTGGGTAGAGACAGGAAGAATCTTCATAGTCAGCTTCATGAGGCACATTTTCTTTATTGTCATCGCATTCGATCACAACAGTTGGCACTTGTCTCATGTCTGGAAGGCCTCCAGGTCCTGTTTTTGTAACATTGTCACCTGTGTGTAAACCGGAGCTGTTGGGAAACAAAAACAAATAAATGAACTAAAAGGAAACAGTGCAATGGAAGACTGGGTTGCTTCACTCACTGCTTTTAGCAATGGTCTTACATCCCTTTTTGAGAAGAAGCTAGAACAGAAATATCTACTGTTTAGCTCTGCTTATGTGCTGATTTCAGTGTCTTTCAACAAGGATCCCACTAATACAAGCAGTGAAATAGGAACACGAAGAGTTGAAGACTGAAGTCAAACATCACTCATGTTGCTTTTCTATCGTGAAATGAGAATCAGAGATCCGTAGGCAAAAATGATCATAGAATCACAAAATCACAGAATGACCTGGGTTGAAAAAGACCACAGTGATCATAGAGTTTCAACCCCCTGCTATGTGCAGAGTCACCAACCACCAGACCAGGCTGCCCAGAGCCACATCCAGCCTTGGCCTTGAATGCCTCCAGAGATGGGGCATCCACAGCCTCCTTGGGCAACCTGATCCAGGGCCTCACCACCCTTTGTGTGAAAAACTTCCCCCTGATGATGTCTGTTACTGGGGAGAAACTGTTCTCCCTCCAAAGTCCCAGCTGAGACAACAAGCGCATGAAAGGTGAGGAACACGTGCCTCTTTGTGTCAAATCATTTTACTTTGCACAAGAATTCAAGAGTGAAAGCAAATGTGCTGACCAAGCTGCACCTGAAGCACTCAAATTTGGGAGTGACCTTACCAAGTGCTAAGAAGCCTCAATTCTCTTCAGTACTACTCAGAGTACAAGAGGCATTCCACATCTTGGGAAAAAAAAACAAAACAAACAAACAAACAAAAAAACTCTTTAAATGATTTTCTGTGAAGTCAACTTGAAACATTTCTCTTTTTTTCTAATCTAAATTTAACACAGACTCTCAAGTGGCTGCCAAATAACATCCTGGAGAATGTTATAAAAATGTATTTTTGGGTACATAATGCTCGGACACAATGAGCTTAGGGATTAAGGAGAATAAAAGGCTTCAGATCCTGTGAGTAAACCATACCATGTTGTTATCACTGTGTTCAGCTTCTAAGGAATCATTTTATTAATTGCAACATTTATTATCACAGACTAAACAAGAATAAGCTGCATAGTTTTACTGGATGCCTCGAAAAGAGGAACTCCATTTTCTTAGTGATATTCTATGTTTCACACCAAAATGCATGAAAAACTCACAAAAAGCTGGCTTGTGAATTTGTGTTAGACTTCAGTAGGTTCCATCTAAGATATTTTTAATGCAGCAGTAGTATTAGAACTCACCAGGTGAATTCTCTTAATAACACACAAATGTATTACAGCCTTTCAAAAATTAACTCCCAAGATAGTGCTACATTTAAAAAAAAATTCAATTTACTAATTTCATTTGAAAAATAATTTTGCTATATAACCTATTTTTTTTTGTAGCTCCTTTAAGAGGAAAAGCAGGAAATTCAGAAGCCTGGATTTTCAAGAGAAAGTAGCATAAAGAAATTCTGTTAATATTGCTAAAAGAATGGTGACCACAGCCACTGAATCATTAATTCACCTGATTTGAAAACAATACGTTCACAGAGAGTAAGTGCACGTTGGCTAAGTCCCTTCTGGAAACACAAATGAATGCAGCAGAAAATAGTTCAGCACCCAGGAGCATTTGATGCTTCACTGCTCCGTGAAGGATGGATGTAGGTTACGGACTCATCCATGTGAGCATAGGGCAGCAGATATCAAAGCGGCTCACCAATGTAGGTTACCAAGCAGGTATCAAACGGAAACAAGATTTACAAACCACCACACCTAATCTTTATTTGAACTACTGCTCTAGAAATAGAAGTCTTCTCGTCTCATTGTAATTTTTGTGAATCATCCATTTTCTAGCTAAAACTATTTTCTATTTTAAGTCCCTCATTTTTCCTAATGTTTTGTGTTTTTCTTGACTATACTCAGCCTTCTTCACATCATTTTGGCAAAGTCAGCTGTCGAAACAAAGCTTGTGAAATACATGCATTATTGCAGTATGCTTAAGAAAGATGTACCAAGGTCACTGTATATCTTCATTGAGTATAAACTCCTCTGGGTCATTAGCAAAAAAAAAAAAAACATAGGTGGTCTACACCACAGCGTTTTTCAGCATTATTAGTTGAAAAGCACACTGTTGTTTTAAACTGTCCATTCTAAATCAGCTTCATCTTTTGCCATTAGAGTACAGAGCCATAGCTAAGCACGTACTTGTTTTAGAAAGATAAATGTATCTTAATGCATAGATTTGAATAATTCATAGCTGACTATGCACTTACTGTTGTATTATTCTTATGTGATTAAAATGGCAAAAATGTTACATTACTACAGCTTCCAATATTTCTAGTGAGTCATGGAATCATAGAATGGCCTGGGTTGAAAAGGACCACAATGCTCATTGAGTTCCAACCCCCTGCTATGTGCAGGGTCACCAACCACCAGACCAGGCTGCCCAGAGCCACATCCAGGCCTTGAATGCCTACTGGGAAAAGATATTCATGAGAAATCAGAATTTAGGTGTATAAGTGGCTCATGTTACAGAAAAAAATGTAAATAGAAAAAAAAGTTAAATGCCTCCTGTAAAATCTGTGGGAAAAAGAATATGCTTCTCCTCTATCATCAGAGTCTCTTAGATCTGGAATAAGGAGTTTCACTCCTACCAGCATGTTCTGATCCATAGGACACTGTCCTGTACTTATTAGTTAAAACAAAAACTCAAATGACTGTATATACATTGATACTGTTTGGGTATATGCGAGAGACAGAGAGAAGGAAGGCAGAGATATAAATATCACGTGTTTCTTGCCTTAAGTAATACTGAAGTTAGACAAAAAGCACTTATTTTGACAAGCTTTTTAGAAGATAAATGTTTTCTGAATCAAATACATTTTATATGATTTATAAGACACTGTCAGGAATATTAAATGCATTTCATTTTGTGAATGTACGGTCTGAAGCTGAACTCTATGTCCCAGAGGAAACGGTCTCACAAACTCTTTTGGACAGCACACTTTTCTGCTTCTCTGTCATGGATCCAATTCTAGTCCAGGGTGAGATACAGACACTTAACAGCTTCTCAGTGTATGCACTGAGTCAGTTCCTATTGTACAACAGTCCACAGAGTAATTGAAATCATTTCTTGTCTTACCAGTCCGATGAAGAACTCTCTAGGCTTCAGGTCAAGAAGCTACTAAGTTGGAGTTAAAGGCATATTACGATGGTATAAGAGGCTTTCTAAAGCTTCCCCTATTACTACCTTTTGCTGAGATCCTTTTGGGCATGGTCCTTCCTCTCAATTTCAATTCAGTCAGGAGGATCAAGCCTTTGGTGGATGCTAGTGGGAAATAATGGAGCTTCAGTATCTCTTAAGATGTGTCACAGACTGGTAAAAAATCACCAGAATAGGCGACCTTGAACACAGCAGGGGGGTTGAAACTAGATGATCGTTGTGGTCCTTTTCAGCCCAGGCCATACTATGATTCTATGACTCTGTGATTTATGCTGAACATATATACTTTGGGTTGAAGCTGAAATCTATTTGCAGTCGGTAAAAATTACCAACAGACGTTGCAGAAAAAAGGTTACATGGAAATCACACCTCTTTCTGTTTCTTCTTAATCTATCAAAAATCTGGTAATTTATCAGGGAAAACGAAGGCACGCTGGCAGTGCAAATGATGTCTTAATAATCATATTACAACAAAGGATAGATTTCCCTTCCAAGAATAGTTTACAAATTGATGTTTTAAGTACCAGATTTTTTTTTGGCATTAGAAGTCTTAAGTGTGTAAATGAACCTAATGCTCTGTAGTGTCTGCAATAAAACTAAAAAAGATCTGGGAATTAACTGCAGTTTTAAGCAGCTAGAGGAAGAGAAGCTCAGTAGCTTTCTCAAGGTCAAACACAGCAAAATAACTTCTGGCTTTCTTTCTGGTACAGAGAGACAGCTCATTTTTCTTTGGCCAAAACTGTAGTGCATTGGCAAATGAAATATTGTTCTTCAGATGCTGCTAGGCTATCTGAATTCTAGAGACCCCATCTGCAAAAAAAAAAAAAAAACAACAACAAAAAACCAACCAAACAAAAAACCCATCCAGATTGCTAGAAGGGGGTGTTTCACTCTTTCTTTCATCCTGTCCACACTCACAGTCCTGGTTGAAGGAAGGATTGTGAAGTATAAGATCAGTTTAGCAGACAAAATGTGGAACTGGTGTGTGTATCAATGGAATATGATTGATGGAAAATGGAACAGAGCTGAGATTCTACTCTATCAGGAACGAAAAACCAGACACAGGGAAGAGAAAATAATTAATATAGGAAACAACTAAATAAAATGGAGAGCAGGATACTAATCTGTATTCGTCTATGAGATTCTCCTTTATTAAAGAAAATAATCCCCCAAATCACCAGCCTTGGAATCAATATTAAATGGAGTAGAAAGGCTATTATTCTATCATGTAGGACTGTTTCAAGATAAAGACTTTTGATCAGCAAAAACAAATGCCTCAAGACTGTTGGCCCAAGAGCAGTGACCCAGTAGTGTCAGAAGGAACAGTAAAGCTCTGGATGTCACTGTCTGTCTTATGCATGCAACAGACGGGAGCACATTATTGAATTTTAAACAGAAGAAAGTAGATCTGGGATCTGTGCAGTTTTAAAAGGCTTTCAATATTTCTGGGCTGAAATGTCCAATGAGATATATTGAAATATGATTTCCACTGGGTTCCATCCAGAGTTTATGCAATTAAGGGAAAAGAAGTACTGACAGAAGCATTAGAAAAAAGCAGTATTTGGTACAACTAATCTCCTAAATTAGATGTGTGTATCTTAAAAATCTGCACAGGCCACAGTCTTGCTTGGAAAAATAGTTTTAAGATTTTAACACCAAATGTCAGTTCCACAGACCCTTTTGTCTATCAATACTATGAAATAACAATTGCTGTAGTAAAGGAAACAGTCATTTCCTATTTTCTCTCCTGTGAATAGAAACATTATTGATTTGTTTTGACAAGGAGAGTAACTGAAGTATTCAGTACTTTATTTCATGAATGAAAGAACAGTTAATCACCCCAAAAGGCTATGAAAAACCAACTGCAATATCATGAACTAGGATTCATTTTAATTTTTAATGTGAAATATCAGTGCCACAACCTTTCTTACTCTCTTCTGCAGAGGGATGCAACTGCATCATGTTAAGGCATGAATCCTTGTTTATTACATTATTAACAAGCAGCACAGCTTTGAATTCAAATTAATAGTTATAACCAAACAGCATAACCTTCTTTAAATCAGTTAAGCATACTTGCAGACGTAAACTTGATGGATGCCTAGAAATTGGAGCATTTGTTGCTGTGGGGCAACAGATGCCACACTGAAGTCATACTCTGAGAGATTTCACTGTGCCTTTTGCACACAATGCAAGCCAGACTGTAAGGTCAGTATCCAACCTGTGCTGGGGATGGCATTAGCAGAGCTGCCACAAAGGAGCCTCTGGGAGACACTGCTATCTTCTGCACTCAGTGCACCAGGGCTGATGCAGTGTGAGAGGTGGTCACTAGGCACAGGATTGTTTGTGGATACTCCTTCTAATCCTTCTGCTACAGTTCTTTTATTGATGGGAACAGGAATCTCTATCACTGTCCTTATAGTTTTCCCCCAGCAGAGAATTTTGTCAGGCTACAGAAGCTTTAGCCCCCTTGATCTAACTGCAGAGATCTCAGTATCCTGGAAGTGAAATAAGCTGACAGAGGAGGACAGCCTCTGTTCCTCTATTTTTAGTGGCAGCAAGGAGAATCTGCCATCTCTAATAGAAATCCTTTTAACTGTGCAATATAATGAAGGTAATGTTATCACAAAGAGATATTGGGGCAAGTCATTAGGCATTTTGTCCATGAGACCAAATATTTTAGCTTCCTGTATAACAGAAGGATGATCTGACGTGCCTAGAACAAGCTGGTTACAAAGCTGCCCTTGTAACTATAAAGAACGTCATTTTTGGACTATCTCCTCTATTCTGCAACTTGCTCAATTTTCATCTAAAAGTCAAAATAATTTTTCCAAAGCTTGCTGATCTAGTAGTCTATGAGGACAGCTTGCATTTATGCAACATGCTTCACTTATTCAGACCACTTGAAACAGCATTCAGAGATGCTCACAAGTGACAGTAATGAAAAGCAGCCCCAAGGTGGGTAAGGCTCTTCTGATTAAATGTACAACCTTCCTCCAGATGCAAATGCATAAGAAGGGAGCTGCTGTGGAAAGGGTTAAATACTTAATTTAAAGTTACTGAAATAATTTAAATAGTGTATTAAAGCCCTGCGAAGTGATTTGTACAAAGTTCTCATAGGTTGTTTTGAGCTAATCAGATACTAATCAGATGTCCTGGTTGAGTAGCACATTTGGTTTAATGGTCTTTTCTGAATCTTTTATTTCCTTTACTTGTTTTTTTTTCCTTTTAAGCAATCCTCCATATAACTGGAGCTGTGCAGTTATATACTCTACAGTATATACTGCAAACCAGACACGTTCTCTTAGCCTTTTCTACACTGGTAGTGTAACCTAGCAAGGACAGGACAAGGGCTCAGGAAATTTGGTCTTTTTCACCTTTCTGCCACACAGTTCTCTAACAAGCCTGGAAAAGCTTGTCTCTGTTTCTCCAACAATGACTCTGCTCCGAAGGTGCTAGATCCCCAGAGAAGGGACTTCCAGTACCACCAATATGACTCCGATGTTAATACGGACTGTATGGGAACTGCTGAGTCACGGCCTGAACCTCTGATTGATCACCTGAGGTGAGCCATGAGTCAGCCAGAGGAGCACAGGTGAAGGCAATTCACCTGTGTGCCGGAAGGGGGGGAGCCAGGCTCCACCCCTCCTGGACCTATTTAAGAGCTGGCTACCAGAGGGGAAGGATCTCTTCTGGAGATCCTCCTCTTTGATATCTTCTAGTGAGCTCAACCCAAGGGTAAGCTCTTCTACTTATTCTCTTTTGTGATCCTTGTTTGCCTTACTCTTTTGATTATATTGCAATTATAACATCTTGATTATACAGCTTTGCCTTACTCTTTTGATTATATTGCAATTATAACATCTTGGTTATACACTTGGCGAGCCAGGCAGGCTGAATATACTAAAATTAACATGTCTTTCCTGTGGAATTTCTATAAATGGGTCAAGGGGGAGAACAATACTCCCCTAGAGAAAATGATTCCAGGGCAGATCCCAGGGTTTGAGGGATCGCCCTATTACGAGTTAGCTGCCATCATTGAAAAATGGGGTCCCTTACGTGTTATGGGCAATCTCTCCCCATATCGCATGGCAGACTATTTTCAAGGACTTGGCAAGGACATTCTCATTACCAAAGAAAGACAATTGGCTGCCTCCATGGTGGCATGGCCACTATTAACCGCTTTAAATCATGCGGACTCAAGAAATAATACTTTAGAAACCGAAAATCAGCTTTTGAAAGATCGTATTGAAAAGTTAGAGCATGAACTTGGCGTTTTAACGGGGAAGAAGCCAATTCTACATCTTCCTGTAAGCCAAATTCATAATATTTCAATAAATGATGACCAGGCTCCTGAGTCAACAGACTTCGTTGATCAGGACAACAAGAAATCCAAATCAGACCTTGAATGTCCAATTCAAACTGATCCATTGGAGGTCCGTCCTGTGATAACCCAAAAAACAAAAAAAGTACAGGACAGACCGGCAGGGGTGCTGCCTGGTCAATGGCCCCCTGCCCAGACTCATTTACATGTGACAGCTCGGCCATACACGGCAACAGAATTAATGGACTTAGTACAACGATTTCGGCAGAAGCCCAGAGAAAGTGTGCCGGCTTGGTTATTGAGACTGTGGGATTCTGGGGCAGAAAGTGTCGTGGTGAATGGCCCAGAAATATCTAAGTTGGCCACCATGACTGTCCATCCTGCTCTTAGGCAAAGGTTATACGTGGGCAATCAATATCGTGATGAAAACCATTCCATACTAGAATGGTTAATGGCGGCCTGCCGTATGGTATGGCCGAATAAATCAGACATACCGTTACATACAGGTATGTGGTCCTC